AGAAGGACATCATGCTTGGTAAGGGCAGCACAAAAGGGGAAGACCCTCAATGAGAAAAATCGGCACAGTAGCTACAGCAATAGCCACAGCTGTGAGGACAGCGCAAGACTGAGCAGTGTTTTGTTCTGCTGGATGCAGGGTTCTATGAGTCAATAATGAATCAACAACAGTGGTTGAGTATGCCAATTTTTCCTAGTGTGGTAACTTGCACGTTGTTACGCATGATGCTGGAAGCTATGCCACTGGTATTTGAATTACCAGCAGAAGTTGCCCATGGTGGTCAGGTTTCCATGGAGCTTCCAGACTAAGACAAAGAAGAAAGGTTTGGTGAACTACTTGAGAAGATCAACCAATGAAAATCCTATAGAACATAGCAGAATTTTGTCAGACAACATGCTGGAAGATGAGGCCCACAGGCACAAGGCAATCAGAGCACACACTGACTGTCACAGTGGTCTAGAACACAATGACAGCCATGGAGCTGGCCCAGGACCTGTTCACATGGATCCGGTTGGTATGAGTCAGCTGACTTGATAACAATTAATAACAACAAAATGTTTGAGTGTCACCTGTGAGTGTTGACTATGCTCTCCCAGCCCTTAGAAGCAGAAGGCTAGTGTTTACTCCACTGAAAAGCAGCAAGAGAGAAGAACTATTAACCCCTAAATGCGCTCTTTTCACCAATGGATTTTCCAGCTGCAAGAGTTTACAGAAATGATGGTATGAATTCCCATCAGTGTGTACAGAGATGACTGGACATGAATTAGGGGCCAACATCTAAAATATGGAGCCCTGGTGTGGTGCTGTAGGGTAAGCACTGAAATGTAAGGTCGGCTGGAACTGTAAAGCTGGTGGTTCAAACTTACCAGCCGTTCCTCAGAAACCCTACACGGGGTTGCTGTGATTGGGCACCAACTCAAAGACATTTAACAACAATAACAACAACAATATTCTCATATATGAGATTGGACATAACTGGAGTTTTATGTCTTCCAAACAGTAATCCTGGGTCCTTGAACCTGAGGTGTGTCTCGCTAGAGCTGCGCTGTCTGACAGGGCTTTCTGCAATGACGGCACTTGTCTCCAGCCAGGCTGTCCAACATGTAGCCACTAGATACCTGTGGCTAATGTGCTCATGAGAAGTGACCAGTGACTGAGCACCTTCATTTTAAACTCTATATTTTGTTGTTGTGAAGTGCCATCAAGTCAGTTCCAACCCATAGCGACCCTGCATAGGGTTTCCAATTTCAACAGCCCACTAAATGTCACAAGATTATAGCTGTAAGATGAAAATATGAAAGTCATATACTATACTAGTTATGAAAAGAAGTCCTGGTGTGGCACTGCAGGGTAATGCACTGGACCAAAAGTCAGCAGTTCAAACCCACCAGCCACTTCTTAGAAACACTATATAGCAAGTGTGGGGAATGTCCTGTCTGCCAGCCATATAAGGCCTGGACCTCCCAAGGTTACTGCAGTTTCAGCCATCACATTGTTGTTGCTGTTAAATCTATTGAGTCAGTTCCAATCCACAGTGACCCTGTATGAGGTTTCTGAGTAGTAGCTAGTGAGCTTGAACTGCCAACCTTGCAGTCCAGCGCATTAACCCACAGTGCCACATATGGAGTCTAGCTATCACATTATAGCAGGCTCATTTTTAAGTTGGTGATTTTGGATGGCTTTGAATTATATCCAAATGGCCCTCAACAGCAAAAAGGTTCCCCATCCCTGCTATAGAGGGTCCTATGAGTTGGAACCAACTTGAAGGTGCTTAACAATAACAGCAATAATGAAGTATCAGATTTTAGAATATGTAATGCCTTTCACAATTATATTAAAAATATGAAATGCTCAAGGAAAAATCTGAAAAAGAGTGAAATCACTGATGGCCTTAGAGAAATGGAGAACTATGCCGAGTATTTCATGCAAAATCTATGATATTACTAAAATGCCTGTTCCCATTCACTATAGAGTAAATGCAGTTAACCCTACTAAAATACTTGCAGGATTTTTTGGTAGAAATGAATAAACCCTGTAAAGTTTATAAGGAAAAGACCTAGAACTGTTAGGGGCCCACAAGTCCACTGTGATTCACAGCAAGTCTGTATAGGATTTCCGAGGCTGTAAATCTTTACAGGAGCAAAAAGTGTCATCTTCTCCTGCATAGTGGCTGGTGGGTTTGAACTGCTGACCTTGTGGTTAGCAGCCCAGTACTTATCCTACAGTGCCATCAACGCTAAACTGATGTCTAGACTTCTTATAAAATCATAGTAAACAGTGTAGAAACAGTTTTAAAAGCAACAGATAGATCAATAGGGCAGAATAAATGAACCAGAAATAAATCCACAAATATATGTGAACAACTGATTTTTGACAGAGTTGCAAAGGTAATGCAGTGCATAAAAGAATGGTATTTTCAACAAATGGTGATGAAATAATTGGTATGTTGTTGTTTTTCAGTACCGTTGAGTTGGTTCTGACCCATAATGACACTGTATAGGGTTTACGATGAGCAGCTGGTGAGCTTGAACAGCCAACCTTGTGGTTCAAATGACTTTGAAGTCCAGTGCATTAACTCACAGCACCACACCAGGACTCCAATAATTAGTATATCCATATGCAAAAACACAAACTTCTAAGCATACTTCACACTATATTAAAAATTAACTCAAAATGGATCATAAAAAGCTAAAATTATAAAATCTCTTAAAGTTAACATAAGAAACAAATCTTTGTGACCTTGCATTAGGCAAAAGATTTCTTAGAAATAATGTCAGAGATTAGGTCTCTAAAAGGGGAAAAAATTGATATATTGGACCTCATCAAAAGTGTAAACTTTTACTTTTCAAAGAATAAATACCCTGAAAAGAATGAAATGACAAACCAAAGATGGAAAGAAAATATTTGCAAAGCATTCAGCTGATAAAGGACTTGTATTCAGAATTTATTAAGAACCCTCAAAACTCAACAATTAGAAAACAAACCAATAATAAATGAACAACGCACGTGAACAGACACTTACTTCACCAAAGAAGATATAAGGATGACGAATGAGCATATCAAGAGGTATTCAACATTATTAGTCATCCTGGAAGGAGAAATCAGAGCTCCAGTGTGATACCACCATAAACAATACAAACAGTTGGCATCAAGTTGATTCTGACCTATGGTGGCGAAGTAGAAATGTGCGTCATAAAGTTTTCATTGGCCCTGACTTTTTAGAAACAGATCACCAGGTCTTTCTATCAATGTACCTAAGGATGAATTCGAATTGTCAACTTCTTGTTTAATAACCAAACACTGAACTATTTGTATCATTCAGGGACTCCAATACCACACACCTATTAAAAGGGCTAAAACTAAAAATACAGTATCAAGGATTGGTGCGGCTATGGAGAACTGGAACTCTTGTACATTCATGGTAGGAATGTAAAATTATTTTGGAAAACAGTTTGGTAACATAGTGGTTACGAATTGGGCTGCGAACCTTAAGGTCAGCGGTTCGAAACTACCAGCCACTCCGAGGGAGAAAGATGAGGCTTTCTACTCCCATAAGGATTTACACCCTCGGAAACCCTGTACAGGGTCACTATGGGTCGGAACCGACTCGACGGCACTTAACAACAACAACAACAAACGTCTTTGCAGGAGCTTTTTTAAAAAGGTAATAATTAGCTTTGTAAAAAAGGTAATAATTAAAAAAATAAAAAAAGGTAATAATCCGTAACTGAAAACAGCCTAAATCTACCTCAATAAGTAAACAGATCAAATGTAGCATATATATATATACGATGGAATATTTTTCAGGGGGAAATAGAAATTATTGATGCACACGACAATATAGGTGAAACTTGAAGAAATTATGCTGAGTGATTTCATTTACATAAAATTTTACAACATGCAAACTAATATGTTGCTGTTGTTATGAAGTGCTGTCAAATCAGTTCCGACTCATAGCAACCTGCATAGGATTTCCAAGGCTTTAAATCTTCACAGGAGCAGAAAGTCTATATACCATGACATAAAAAAGGGCAGTAGCTACAATAATCTTGATGGTGGTCATAGTATCACAGTTATGCACATGTCAAAACTTAGCCAACTTTAAATTTTGATTATTGTACATCAATCCTGTTGTGGTGTTGCAGGATAGCACAAAGAAGGATAGACCTTTATTATAGACGGTCTGTGTAGTGTACTTGTCTAGTCCGCCATCTTGCCGGAAGTATCTTTTTCTTTTCTTTTTTTTAAGTAGTCACAAGTGGGTGGTGACTGATACATTCAACAACATAGCTCTAACTCGGTGTGGCCCCAGAACCTTGTCCTTCTCCCTTAGCACTGCGGGGACTACACCTAATGCTTTTACAATCTGCATTCCAGTCTGTGTCCTACCCCTGACCTCTGACCCCTACCAAAGAGATTCTTTTTTTATTTTGCTTGGGAAGCAGGATCACTGAGAAGAAATTTTGGGAAAACAGAACCAAACTTAAAACTCAGAAAAGTTTACAAAGAAGCTTTCCTGGTGAACTTAATATATAAAATTGTTCAGTTAGAAAACAGGTTGTCTTGCTCATTTTTCTGGTAAAGGATGTCTCTGATTTTACCCTGATCCCACACAGGTAAAACTGCTAGAATACTGGACAAATAAGTTCCTTTTGGTCAAATTTTCATGGTGCCACATACCTAGAACTTAAAAGGTTCAATTTCTTTTAGTCCTAGGTGTTGGACTAAGGTCATAGTTACGAGTTGGAAACGATCATAGGTGCAATTAGTACTTTTACCTTTATGGCTTCAATTTCTCCATCTGTTAAATGGGCATACTGCTGCCTACTGAACAGAACTGTAGTTAAGAATGAAAAAGATCATGAAGGCATAGCACCAGCCAAGGAGCAGAAATTCTTAATAAACATTCCCTCCTCTTACCCATAAAGCACTCCATTATACACACTTTCCTTGTGCCAAGGGTTGGGCAGGTATAAGCAGGACATCTCTCCCATTCTTACCTGAAGCCAAAGTTTGTCATGCTGAGACCACTTCCCACCAGCAATGCACTGAAATGTGGCATTCTGCCCCACGTTCACCTCGACATTTTGGAGCCGCAAGAAGTGAGGTGCCTTTCCTACAGGAGAAACCAAACAGGATATGAGGACATGGTTCATCAAAAGGCTGCATGACTTCCCAATTAGCGGATGGCAGTTCAGAATTGGAACGTGTGTCTGAGAAGTGGCCTGGGTCAGTGATTAGCCAACATTTGCTGGTCACGTACAATCAGACTTGCAAAGGAGTTTCTCATCTATTACTTCACTTAAATGTCTCAAAATTCCATGAGGGGGAAAGTATTCCCATTTCACAGATCAGAAAAACAAGGATCTTAGGTGTTGCATAGTTTCGCATATTCAGACTGGAGAAATAGAGGAGCTAAGACAAAGTAGAGGAGCTAAGAATCTAGGCCTACAAGACCCTCAAAGTCCATTTTATACACTTCTGCATAACAGTGTCCTACTCAATCAGTAAAAACTTTCTAAGATTATCCACACTTCATCTGTTGACCTGGGGCTCAGTGGCAATTTTCATGGAGATGTCTGTCCTGTGGCCTGGATAAACAGAAAGAAGAAGGCTGAAGCCAAACCTCTTTGGGACTGAGCCCTGTATTCCTGGATTTGATGATGATGAAGGTGGTAAGGAAGGAGGAGAAAGTGGGGAGGAAGTAGATATGAAGAAAGATAGTATTAGTAACTCATATGTATTTAGTGTTTATGATGTGATCTGTACCATGTGTCCAATAAAAGTAGTGGTGGTCTTAAGTGTTGTTGAGTAGGTCCCAACTCATAGAAACATTGTATAAAGTTTCTGAGGAGCAGCTGGTGGGTTTGAATCGCCAACCTTGAAGTTACCAGTCCAGTACTTATCTTATACAGCACCATACCAAGACTCCAAAATAAGGCAGTGGTATGATCCCCATTTTATAATAAGTAAACTGAGGTTGTTGTTGTTGTTGTTGTTAGGTGCCATCGAGCCAGTACCAACTCATACCGACTTCATGCACAATAGAATGAAACACTGCCCCATGCTGGGCCAACCTCATAATCATTACCATGCTTGAACCCATTGATGCTGCTATATTGCCAATCCATCTCACTGGGGGTCTTCCTCTTTTTCTCTGACCCTCCACCTTACCAAACATGGTATCCTCCTTTGTCGCGCGCCCTCGCCGATAAAGGACGCGACAAGCAGGATTCTTCTGACAGTAGTTTATTGTTACAGCTCTT